CTTTGGGGTATGAAAACAGAATCAAACACCCACAACTAAACACTGAGCCGAACTGGAATCCAAATGTAGAGAGGGAAGACAAGACCAGGCTGCAGAAACATGTAGAGACAGCTGACCTGAACAAGGAGGAGCTAACGGGCCCAGACTGATAGCTGGGAATCCAGCATGGGACTGACTCAGACCCCCTAAACATGGGTCTCAGCTAGAAGGCCTGAGCAGTCTAAAGGACATCGGACAGTAGAGCCAGGATGTATCACTGGTGCACAAAAGGACTTTGGGGGCACATCTCCCATGGATGGAGGAATACTCCCTTAACCTAGAGACAGGGGAGAAGGCCTAGTTCCTACTCCAAATGATTTGACAGATTTAGATGACCCCTCCTGGAGGGCATCACCCTACATTTTGGAGTGGGAGTGGAGGATGGGAGGGGAGGGTGGTGGGGGCATGAAAGGGTGGGAGAAAGAGGAAGAGGGAGGGAAGGAGGGAGGGAGGGAGGGAGGGAGAGGGAACTGGGATCAATAGGTAAAATAAAAATAAAAAAAAAATAAAAAAGAGAAATCTCTGGGGGAGAGATTTAAAAGAGAAACACTAAAGTTTAATCATTAAGAAAAGCTTGTCATATATGGGTCAAAGTTTAGTGAACATTAAAGCAATCCTTAAAGTTTGAAGTGGAGCTGTCAATGTGGTAGGAATACTACTACCAAGTACCTTAACATAACTATATTTAATGACAGCCATTTTCCAATCTCTGCATGACCTATGAATCACTTACTTGGTGGCTATTGAATTTTTATTTAAAAATATTTTAATAATTTTTTGAGAATTTTATGCAATTTATTTTTAACATTTTCACCCCCATTCTTCCCCCTAGCTTCTCCTAGATCCACCCCCAGATCCTATCTACTCCAACTTATTAGCACAGTTTTATATCCCCCCTATTCCCCTTTTTTTTAGGATCCCACAGAGTCCAATTTGTGCTGCACATACTCCTAGGTGTGAGGTTATCCAATGGGGTCTGGTTGACCTACCAGTGACCTTACTCTTAAAGAAAACTAACTCTCCCGCCTCTTGTGTGTGTATACTTATGAAATAGTAAGTTTCCATATATAGCTTTTAAAAACATCTTTAGGGTGCATTATTCTCTTCTTCTTCCCCACCCCTACCTGCCTCTCCCCTCTACCTCTCTGCTTCATCCTTCCTCTGCTATTATTCCCCCTTCCTCCTCCATATTACCTGTATTTTATCCCCACCCCCTTATGACCTTTCTTCCCCCTCCTCACCAACAGTTCCTTTCTAGTTCTCTAAAGCTACATATACTCCAAGTTAAACACACAAATCTAGAGATTTGATGCTAAGATCCACATGTGAGTGAGAACATGTGACATTTGTCATTTTGCGTTTAGGTTACCTCATGTCCATGTTTGGTATGTTTTTGAGTTCCATTCATGGAATAAAATCCCACTGTGTGTATGGACCATTTTATTATCTATTACTCAGTTGATGGACATCTAGGCTGCTTCCATTTTCTAGATGTGAATGGAGCATACATGAACATGGATGAGCATGTGTCTCTATCACGGAAAATAGAGTCCATTTCTAGTTTTCAGAGGAGCCACCATACTGATTTCTATGGTGGCTGCACCAGTTTGCACTCCCACCGTCAGGGCAGGGGGATCCTGAGTTCCCAGCATCCTTATCAGCATTTCTTACCTTTTGCTTTCCAGATCTTAGCCATTCTAATTGGGATAAGATACAATCTCAAAATAGCTTTAATTTGCATTTCCCTGATGCCTAAAGATGGTGAACACTTTAAATATTTCTTAACCGTCTGTACTTCTGCTAGGAATGCTCTACACAGCTCTGTAGTGGCTATTGATTTTATTATGGCCTTTTCTATTTTGGTTCACTGTATTCTCACTGTACTCATCATTACATTGTGATTTGAAACAATTTGATGGTATGGATTTTTATCTTATGTCTTTTTTGTCTCACGTTTGGTACCATTTTAAATTTCTGGTAAGGGTAGAACGTAACAAGAGCCATCTGTCCTTCTCTGCATCTGAGTCCTTCTGTTGTGATTCATTGTTGTCAGTCACACACACACACACACACACACACACACACACACACACACCACACAGTCTACTACTTTCTTGCTGCTGCTGTATGAGAATTATGAAAAGCTGACATGTTTAGCACATTGCATGCTGAGTTCTCTGTAGCACTAAGTCTCTGCCTTTGAGGCTTCAGGCTCTATGACATTCTTGTTCAGGTCTAAGTCCAATAGGATGGACTTGTCACTTAAGTGGCTAGTCAAGAGTGCTTCACTTTGCTTTATGCTTCTCAGATGTCTGTATCGAAAGGAATTAAGAAAAAAAAAAACTCATGAAAAAAACATATCACATTTCCACTGATTATGACTCTCTAATGTGTGAGGGAAATGCTGGTATTTCAACCAGGTATGTTACTTGTAGTATGATAGGAAATAAGTTAAAAGCATAATTCATATTCCCTCAAGACTTCTGCCATCATAACTCCAAAAGCATGCCAGGGTTCGCTTCAGCAATACAGTGCTAAACTCAAAAGCACTTCAAGAGAAAGTAAAAGGGGCCAGATTAGGAAAAAAAATTCTACCATCAATGTTGTGATCTGACACCATATTTTTGTTCCCTTGCCTTGATCTACCCATTTTTTCTTTATCTTCCTTGGTGAATTCATTCATCAAGGACAGGTTTTATATTTATTGTAAAGGTGCTGTGTTTGTGCATGTGTGCATAGTGTATGTATATATGTGACACATATATCCAGTTCTTACAAAGCTTAGTGCTTAAAAGTGGCCATATGATTATAAAATATCATATCTTGGCTTTACTGTAATCTAAAACATGGTTCTATGTGAATAAAAGACCAGACATAAAATGAGAGTAAAAGTCGGGAGACAAGCAGAATGATCTCATGTTGGAGGAGAGAGGTGAAGGAGTGTTGGCCAATGTTTGTTTGTTTGTTTCTTTTTTTGAGACAGGGTTTCTGGTAGTTTTGGAGCCTGTCCTGGAACTTGCTCTGTAGAACAAGCTGGACTCGAACTCACAGGGATCTGCCTGCTTCTGCTTCGAGAATGCTGGGACTAAAGGCCCGAGCCCCCACTGCTTCTCAATGCTGGAAGATTTTGAGATTGACAAACAATAAGCACACCTTCTCCTTGGCTTACAGTATGGAAACTGGACCAGAACCAGGTCTGGAATTGGTGCAAAAGAATCAGCTAATGTGTATTTGTCTGAGCTCTGGAGCCTTCTTTTTCTTTTCTTTCTTTTTTTTTTAAAAAAAACAATAATTTGTATTTAAATAAAAAAGTATCTTATTTTACATACCAATCCCAGTGTTCTCTCCCTCCCGACCTCCCACTCCCCCAACCATCTCCTCATCCCACTCCCCATCTACTCCTCAGAGAGGGTGAGGCCTTTGGAACCTTCTTAGGAAGCCTAGTATGAGTGACTCACTTTGATTCCAGCACATGTGAGACTCCAGAATTGTGAGACTCAGGCCAGACTAGCATGTTCCAGGCCAGCCTGGGCTAGTCAAAAGATACCTTCATGCTTGCTCCTGAGGGTGTAACTAGTGGTAGAGTGTTTGCATTTACTAGTCTACAATTTCACTAAGGCCATTGTTTTGTTTGCTTGTGTTGTGTTTGGTTGAGACAGGGTCTTACTAGCCCAGCATGGCTTCAAACTCACCAAGTAGCCATATTTCTCATGTTTCTGCTGTAAATCCCAGCCCTGGCATATGCTACTGTGTCCAGCATACCCACTGCCTTTTGAAAATTCTGAATTCATGTACAGGGATTGATTTGAGCTCATTGTCTTGTACAACGGTTCACATCCTAGAGACACTTAAATTCATACTCCTGCATTCTGGACTTCCCGCCCTTCCTGCACAGGACTCCATCCCTATGATCCTATATGCATGTTCCTGCATTCCTGTTTCCTGCAGATGACACTTAAAAAATTACTTATGCATCAATTACTTTCCCTGTGTTGTAGGTATTTTGTAGCAAAATATTTTTCAAGTTATGTAATATGCCATATTTCTGGGAATTGAAAGTGTAAAAATATAACCACAATTTTGGAAGACTGAAAAGTTTTCAATTTTGCAAAAACAATTTTAGAATTTGGAATAAGTCAATTTCTGTGGAACTATAAAGATAAAATCTGCTGGGCAGTGGTGGCACACGCCTTTAATCCCAGAACTCAGGAGGCAGAGGCAGGCAGATTTCTGTGAGTTCAAGGCCACCCTAGTCTAAAAGAGCTAGTTCCAGGACAGCCTCCAAAGCCACAGAGAAACCCTGTCTCCAAAAACCAAAGCAAACCAAACCAAAATAAAACAAAAAAATCCAAAACAAAACAAAACAAAAAACAAAGATAAAATCTCTCTAGAAAAATGGAGATGGAAGTGAACCATGAAGATAGTAAAGATAAGTAAGTGCACAGCCCCAGAATGCAGAATATTCTGGTATCAGACTCCCCACTCAGTAACTGTATTTGTCTGATTCTCTTGCTAATAGCTTCCAGAGGCCAGGCAAGTCTTCAAGAAAAGAGTTTTGTCTATTTTAGCTCACAGCCTTGCAGTATGAAGGGCAAGAGGCTGCATCTGGTGGTGGCCTTCCAGCTGGTAAAGTTCAATGAGTACCAAGGCAAGAGACTGAGGTTTCTGAATGAGACCATGTCTCCTCCTCCTCCTCCTCTTCTTTTTCTTTTTCTTTTCTTTCTTCCTTTCTTCCTTTCTTTTCTTTTCTTTTCTTTTTTTTTTTTTTAACAGATCTTGCCTCAAGTTTATTTGTAAAAACAGCATAGGACACTGATCATCTGCAGAGAGTCTGTAGGTGTTTCACACCAGTCCATCTGTCTTCACAGTGGCAGACAGAAACCTTTTCTATGGGGCCTTCACATGGGTCTGGGCACCTTTGGGAGCCTGAGCTGGAGCCGAAGCCTGGGCCTTAACAGGAACTAAGGCCTTTGCCTTGGTTTGAACCTATGACCTTTGGCCATGTAGCTTCTAATCGGCTTTTGAAGCTTGGGGTGAGCTATGAAAGCAAGACAGCTGAGTATGCAGCCAGGACCCTTTGGCATCTTGGGTTTAACCAGCTTGGGCTTCACAAGGACCTCGATGGCTCTGTACGTGCACTCATGGCCTGCATTGTTTGCCTGCATCTTCTTCAGGCCTTTCTTTTTCTGCTTCTTGGCAAAGCGCATGTTCCTCAGGAATTTGGGGTCGACCCCATTAAGAGATTCGTATCTTTGTGACCAGGAGTTTCTTGATGGCATGCCTGTGCCATTTCTAGGACTGGTTGTGTGTGGTGTGGTGTGGTTCTTGGACTTGGCCATGTCTGAACCGTATTCCGCGGCTCCCGAAGCAGCTCCTGAAGCGCCTGGAAGAGAAAACCGGTGTCTCTTCTAATGTCAGCGAACTCCACACCGTTGACCTGGTCCAGTCCTACTAGCCCCTAAAAGCCACCTCTAGCCATCATAGTTGGAGTGTGCCTTCTTATTTAATAAATTTAATAAGAATTAAATTTCAATGCATAAAGTTGTTGCCCCAGCCACTTGGAAAACTTACTGGGAGAATATCATGAGTGCAAGAGTTTCATTGCTCCTAAACAGGGAAGTAATATCCCATCTCAAAAAAATAAAATTAAAAATTTCCAGACACACATTATTGGGGGATGTGCTCAAGCCATGTTCAAACAACATCAGTGGTCTTGAAGCATCATTTAACCTCTTACAGCTGGTCTCCTTATCTGTAATATAGAACACCTGACATACAGAGGAAAATCTCAGTCTAGGACTTATTAATTGCTGCAGACAGACGCAAGAGATGGACACTGGTTATGAAAGAGAGATAAAGATATTTTTTTCTAGTTTAATTCTGTCATAATTTCTTTGTTTTGTTTTAGGCGGTGGAGAATGCATAAGATAAGTTTGATATTGAAAGTATAACATTTTATATGAACCTCCACAGCTTATGTTCCAAATGCATGTTCTAACTGAATAGAAGTGCATGGCATTGTACAGACTTTAGGTCTGGTTATTTGGGATGAGTGATGGTTTTGTTTATCTGCATGCATTTTTTATAATAAAGTTTATAAAATTATGTTAAAAGTAATTACTGTAAACATAAAATAATGTCTTAAGAATGAGTCAGTAGTGATGGCACATTGTAATCTCTGCACTTCAGATTGAGACAGGAAGACCATGAACTAGAGCCTGGCTGGGGCTATAAAAATGTAAGGAAGGAAGGGACCAAGAGAGAGAGAGAAAAAGAAAAGGATGAGGAAAGAGAGAGAGGGAAGAAGACACAAACAGCAAATATGTGCCCAAGGATGTTGCTCTTTAGGTCATTTCTCCTACTTTGAAGGAAGGAAAGCACTGTATTTAATATGAGGCACATGTAACAGCAAATATTTCCAGCCAAATTTAGCCAGTCATTGTTTCCATGGCAACTCCTTGCTTTGAGAAAAGGGGCGAAACATAAAGAGATTCTGTATGCGATTTCTGGTCACTTGTTTGAGACAGTCTGGGTAACTGTCAGGGTCATGAGGAAAGGGGCTTGCTTCAACACGGGAGAGTAGAGCATGAACTCTTTATGCACCATCTTATTTGGGAAAGCAATTTTTAGTTGTTTGACAATCTGGCCTCATTTTCAAGCACAATTATCCTTCATAGCCTATCAGACTGCTGCAAAGAGTTGTTCTGATGATGCTCATTAGGGAAAAAAATAAAAGCTAGAAAGTAGGATGTGAGAGGTTGTAGCTGGGAGAAGCAGGCAGGGTGCTGTTGGTTGTGTTCTGGGGTCTATGCAGCCTCAAGGAAGCAACATGCAGCTCAGAGAGTAACTACAGCAGGACAATGCAGGTTAATGCTGTCCTGAATACTAGCTATTAGCCCTCATTGACATCTTTGCTGCCCAGAAGGAAGATTTTCTCCACACTGAAGGAACCACTTGGCATAGAGGTGGCTCAGCTATTAAAGGCACCTTGTTATCAGACCTGGCAGCATGGATTTGATCCCCAGAGCACACATTGCGGAAGGAGAGACCCCATGTCCGAAGGTTCTTCCCTGTGCTCTGACATATGCATAGCACAGGCACACTCCCCTCCCCCTAGCCATGTAGAACTTTGTGTATGCCATATAAGCAGAGATCCCCTGATTATATAAATCTCTAAAACCAGTACTTGCAAGCCCCCCCCCTTTTTTTTAACAGAGTGTCAATATGTAGCTCTGGCTGTCCTGGAACTAAGTCACTATGTAGACCAGACTGGCCTTAAACTCACAGAAGTCTATATGCTTCTGCCTCCTAAGTTCTGGGATTAAAGGCCAGTGCCAGCAGAGCTACTCCAAACAATTTTTTTTTTCTCATAGAATTTTTCATCCTCTGATGTGAAAGACAGAAGACAGCATAAGTTATCAGCAAGTTTTTAAGTGGTTAACAGTGCTTCAAACACCTATTTTATTTTTAATGTAGACTTCTGGACCTGTTTTCAATTGAAACATTGAATTACAATGAATATACAAATATAAGCCCCCTTTGGCTAAGAGTTTACATTATTTCTAAACATATATCAATGTGTCATAATTCACTTCAAGCAGATGAAAAGAAAAAGGGAAACAGTATAGTGCTTGAATACTTTCTGTCTCTAAAGGACAAATCTCTCATATAAAACTCTCATTTACAAAGCTTTTCTGTTAGGGGAAGAAGGATCTGTTTTAGCTCATGACTTGGGGTATAGTTCATCATGATGGAGAAGGCAAGAGGCTAGAGATGGAGGTGCTAGGCTGCTTGCCTGTGTCTCCACAGCAAGCAGAGGAAGAGCTCCCTTTCTGTACAGAGAAAGTGCCTTTTAAAAGTCAGCTAAATGAAGAAACACCACACCATCTCAATTTTACTTAATAAACAGACTGATGAAAAGAGAGATGCTTTTCCTCACAGTATGAGTCATGAAAAATTTTCAAGAGATACCCAGGATGCATGTTTCCAAAACAGATGCTGTCATTGCCAAATCAGCTCAGATTACTTATCAAACATCCATGGGGATCTGGGGATGGTCCAGTCAGTAAAGCCGCTGAGCAAGCAAGAGGACCTGAGAACCTACATAGAATAAATAAATATGGAAGGAGAGAACAACTCACAAAAGCTGTTTTCTGACCTACACACACACACACAAACACATACACACACACACATACACCATGGAAAGTGCATCCCTCTACACACAAAATAAAGCCAAATGATGGCGAGCAATGATAGAGTAGGACACCAGCTGTTGACCTCAGTGTGCACATGCACCCACATGCAAGCACACATGTATACACATACACATACACACATACTACCCAGTTATGAGTTCTATTAGAAAATTTATTTAGGAAGGTCCTGGGAAGGCACCTTTGATCAGATCTTCCCCAAAATAAAAAGTCCAAATTTATGTACAATTTAATGACTTGGTATTTATTATGTGTAACACTGTGAAAGGTCCCTTACCAAAATGCTTCTCCCAAGAGCCATTTCACTCAGAAATGCAAAGTTCTGTTTGCAAACATGTACATGCATTATTAATGCAAAGGCATGGAAGCAAGTAGAACCCCAAGGTTGTGTCACATTAATGTGACTGGAGAGCTAATCAATGCCTCCCTTTATCATTCCAATGCACATTGTGTATCTTCTCCTGGAGATTACAAAAAAAAAAATCTATACAAATTCACAAGTGAAAGACTATTAAGCTCAGATATTTTCATGAAAATATACAAGATATATATGAACATTCTTAATATGTATAATTATGCATGTATAATATATAAATATCTTCTGCAATTTTCATAAATTTGGGGTTATTCGATATTTTTCAAACATTAAAATAGAATTTAGAGGAAGAAACATTATACATCACATCATGTTAGTGTCAGGGGAACAGTAACACAAAAAGCAAGTAATGGTTTTTAAAACCAACACTTTAACCCTCATAGTAAAATAAGAAAAATATTTCAAACAAGACACAAGGAAGAATTCCAAGAAAATCACTGTCTTAGTTAGGGTTTGTATTTGCTGTGAAGAGACACCATGACCACAGCAACTCTTATAAAGGAAAACATTTAATTTGTGTGGCTTATATTTTCAGAGGTGTAGTCCATCATCATCATCCTGGGACATGGTAGAGTGCAAAATGCTAGAGAAGGAGTTGAGAGCAAGTCCTATGATATGACTTGCAAGCAACCAGAAGTAGTCTGAGACACTGAGCATGACTTGAGCTTATATGAGACCTCAAAGTCTGCTTCCACAGTGGCACACTTCCTCCAACAAGGCCATACCCACTAATAATGACACTTCCTTTGGGGGGGCACTTTTCTCAAATCACCATAATAAGTAACACAAAAATGTGATTCTACTAAATAATTTTTTGTCTAGCCTACTTGGCTTGCTATTTTTCTAGTGAAAATAGACATGGAAGAAATTGACACACTTCCTTAAAATGTGACAGAACCACAGTGAAGCTTGTAACACACAAACTTATGAGTTTCCTGGTGGCAGGATTTTTTTTTTTTTTTTTCCCCCTTAAGATCTTGTTTTGTAGTCTGTGTTGACCTGGAACTTGCCATGCCCTGCCTCAGCCTCTTGAATGCTGGGGTTACAGTTATGTTTCACCATGCCAGACCTACTATGGGTTTCTTTCTTAGAAATAATGTTGTGAATAATTTATCTGACTTGTGTTAAAGCTTCCTGGTCCTGTTTCATTAGTAACATACAAAAATACAAACCCTTAATGCCCTGAGCATCAGCCATTGTTCTAACTCACTGCTTAAAATAATTTGCTGATTCAAACTTATTCATTGTTCATCTTGCTATTCATTTCTTATTTGTCAACTCATTAATAACACATTATGATGAATTACAGCAATCAAAGTTAACACTCTGGCTATACTTTAATAAACATGAAAACTAAAGCTTAAGGAGCAAACTTAAATGGGAAAAGACAAGGAAAATACCACTCATAGGGACAGTTTGTTTATTTTTAGATCCCAATGAAGCTAATTAATCTCCTGAGTCAGGAAAGTTTTCATTACATTTTGTAAACCTCCTATTTTTTGCTCTGTGCCATCCCTTTGTTGGTCTCTAAAACTGAAACTTGCATTACAAAGCAACCTTAACATCTTAATCTGTAATTATCTTTGTGGGCTGAGTCACAGAGAGAGCTAAACTTAAACCAAATGGTAATGCCTTGATACATTTTTTACCAACTTTTAAAGGATACAGACCACTAAAATATGCAATTGTCTTGAATGAACTAAGAACAAATGGATACATAGAAACACTACGTCACAAGCAGCCTTTGGAACTAGCCAGGATCCGGTGGCTAGGAGTTGAGAGACTACACTTGAATCAACTTGGTGAGTGGTAAAATGAACATGCCGAATGTGGGGAAGGCTTGGGCTTTGAAATTAGGAACCAAACCTGGATGAGTCTCTTGGAAAATCTTTCTGATGGCCAAATTCATTAACTGACCAAGGGAGGTTGGCTATCTAGACCCTGTGTGTAAAGCTTCCCTCCCACCATAATGGCTGTCAAATGATGGCAGTCTTAAAATAGTGGCTCCAAGAACTAAGAAAGGAAAGACACAGAAACTATTGATATGGGAACTAGAGCCAATTATCTTAGTCTGAAATCTATGTCAGTGTTGCTTTCTAGGCCATAGGATTCTGGCAGAAGACAAAGCAGCAGCAACCATGGGGCAGGCACTGGTCCATGGAAGAGTGTATACTTAGCATACACAAGGTTCTGGGTACTATCCCCAGCACTAAGGGAAGAGATATCTAGTGATGTGCATATTAGCTCCATCAGTGATGGCCTGTATGTACTCTGATGGTCCCTAAGGCTGTAAGGAGTTGAAAAATTCCTATTACCAATGACATCATAGTTGTGCCATAATGTTGTCTTACCTCGAAGTACTACAGGCTTAGGATGATGTATATGTAAACAAATCTACAGTGTTTACTGTTCAGATGAGAGTAGAGCATACAATGATGTATAACACAGAGTATTTGGTAATGACACTACACATACACAGTATGTTTCTGGTTTATGTATTTCATATACTATACCTGACACAATCAACTTACGAAAAAGAAAGTTTAAGTTTGGCTCTTAGCTGTGGAGGTTTTGGTTCATGCTTAGCTGGGTTTCTGTCACAGCTGCTCACAATCATGGAAGCCAGGAAGTGAGAGAAATAGAGTCTTAGCTTCCCAGAGGAGGCAACACCTCCTGCTAAGCCTTGCCTCAGGAAGTGTTCATAGTTCCCGTCTTAGTTGCTTTTCTGTTGCCGTAAAGATGCCATAACCAAGGAAACTTATAAAGAGTTTATTGAGTCTTGCAGTTTCAGAGGGTGAGTCCATGATCATTATGGCAGGGTGCATGGCAGCAGGCAGGCAGGCAGGCATAGCGCTGGTGCAGTAGAAGAGAGCTTGCATCTTGATTCACAAATACAAAACAGAGGGCTAGCTAGGAATTGCTGACCTTTTGAAACCTCAAAGCCTTCCCAGTGACAAACCTTCTCCAACAAGGCTACACCTCCTAATCCTTTCTAAACAGTTCCATCAACTGGCAACCAAGTATTCAAATATGTGAGCCAAAACAAGTCTCATTTAAACCACCTAATAGTGACACACCAGGGAACAAGCTTTTAACTGACTTGGGCCTTTAAGAGTTCAAATTACAGCACTAACTTCATTCCATTTTCTGGGAAAATTAATAGTTTTTCCTATTTGTTTCACAAGAACCCCCACCACCTAGTACTGAAGGTAGAACCCAGGGCTCAATACATGCTAGGAAAGTGCACTACTACTGGGCTATATGCTCAGCACTTTGCTGCCCAGTTCTCACCCTCCAACTTCTGGATCAGGTTCTCTTGAAAGTGAACTATACTGTAGGCGAAGTTTCTCTGTGTCTCAGCAACCACTCCCAAATAGCCATTCAGAGACTTATTATTAATTATAAATGTTCAGCTATAGCTAAATTAACCCATATTTCCTCT